AAGGGTTCTGTCTATCAGGATCCATCAAATGCCATGTTAGCAGGTCAAGACAGTCCATATCAACCTTGCATATTGCACAGGCCACTCATTTGGAAGGGTTCCATCTAGCATAGCCTGCTCATTCACCAGGTGTCTGTCTATTCAGATTCATCAGCAGCTGTATTAGCAGACTGAGACCATCCTGCTATCTCATTTTTTAAGTTTCAAGTAAACTATTCTATGTCAAAAAGCCATGCATTCACTAAGCTTCCACCTATTGGGATACATTAGCAGTTGTTTTAGTAGAATGAGATTATCCTTTGCAATTCTGTTGGCTGTCTAGCCATTATTGTCTTTTTCTCACTCTCAAATAAAGGTTGAATATACAATGTGGCACAAGTGGTCAATTAAAACGGAAATACAAAATGACATTGTATGTACTGTGGAGGAGTAAAATGATAGACAGCCTTGTTCACCCTGCTGTCCTATCCACCCTTCTCTCATCTGCCAGAGGCCCTAAGAGATTGATGAGATCATCACCCAATGCTTGTCCATATACCTGAATACACAGAGCCTCTAGCTTGCGAGCCATCCTGTCCAGCATCTGCATGGTTTTGTCCTGTTGTATTTGGAAATCATACATTCAATCCTCATAGTATTGGTGGTGGGCCTCAGCATCACAGAGTTGACATTCCAAATCTTTGATTCACTCTTCAATTGTGTTGGACATTTGTGACACCTCAGTGATTGGGGCACAGATGGGTGACAGTGCACTGGGAGTTGCAGTGGTTGCAAGTTGGATGGGTGCTGCTGTTGTCGATGGGCAGGTGTCTGCTTTGAATACAAGGGTTAACTGTGATAATTCGCATAAATGTAGATTGATTAAATGTACCTGCTGCTGTAGATCCCTCTACCTCCTGCGCAATGGATGGGAAAGCCTCAATGATCAAATCTGCTCATACAGTGGCTGGGATTGGGCAGGAATCCCTGTATTTGAATGCAGGAATACAAATCTCTAAATAAAATTTGAGTCAGCATAAATACATGAAATTGTGAACATACTGAGCGAAGATCCCTTGGGGATTGTCTCTCCCTGGTTGGAGGGCCAAACCCCAGTGTTGATGGCTTTGGAAGCCATCAAAACATGTTGCTTTGGGGGACATTCCTTTGGACTTTGGGATTCTTGGGCCTCCATCATTGGGGACAGACTTTGGGCTCACTTTTTTCCCCTGGCTCATGATGGATTCCATTGAGTCAGAGCAGCAATCCTGCCTTTGGCATGGCTACATTCAATTTTGTGACCATCGCACAGGAAGCAGGACTTCCCAGGGTTCTTGTAGCATCAGACCTTGCATCTGCAGCAACAAGTCACAGGAATGGGGGTTGGGGGAAGGTGTCCTTCTGGCAGCTATGGCAGTGCAACCATATAGTCTGTCCAACAGTGGATGAGGCTTGCATTTTGATTGGCCTTGAGTGGGAATGTCTTTGTCATTGTCAGTTTCCACTGTTGCCTTCCTAGAGCAGGATTGATGTCTGGATCAATGGGATGTCATTTTCACAGCAGCTTTGCACTTCTGCCTGCCTCACACTTGTTCTTCCTCATTGTCCTCCTTCTCTGGCACCTCATCTTCACCCTCATCATCCACCTCCATCCTGTGTGAGCTATCTGCTATCATTTGCTCCACCTCTGCCTTGGTTGCTTTCCATTTTCCTTTGTTGCTCATAGGCATTTCAGTCTCTTGAGTGGGTGGTGTTGGTGTTGGCACAATGTGGGGCATAGGGAGGCCCAACTGGTGGTAGTCATATTGACACTTGACAATGTTGAGCCACTTGTGGTTGGCAATGTCAGTTTTGGAAGGGGATAGCATGGTCTTCCACTCAGGCCATGGGTGCTCGATCAAGCTGAGGTCTTCATGCCACTTTAAGCATGTGTCGATGCTGATGAGGGTCATTGGAATCTCATCCATCCTAGCAATGAGGTCGCATACAGCATCCTGAATGCATCAGTTAGTGAAAAAAATGTGAAAATGCTATGACACACTAGTTCATCATTTATCACCTTGATGGCACCTCTCCACTTCACAATCTTGTCTGCCTTTCCCAGCTTGCTGCTTTCCATGATATCCTTGAAGTAAATTTGAAGGATGTGGTTGGCCACAGCATTGAGCTCAGGTGATTTTTTGAAGAGCTTGCAAGACAACAACAACAACATGTTTCTGATGATGAGACGATGGAGTAGTTTGATGGTGAGAGTGGTGATGGTGATTGGAGAGTGGAAGAGTCAGAGGTTAAAGACAGATGATGAGATATGCAGATGTTGCATTTTTTATCCTGCCTATGAATGATTCCCACAGCATGATGGCAATACCAGTACAAGTCAATAATCCTGAATGCATATATGAAGCAGAAGCTCAGATAAAAATATGATGCATTGTTCTGGAATAGCATTGCTGTTTGTTGTGCATGTTTCCCATCTGCTCCAATGGTGGAGCCTGGCTCGCAGCTACATAGACCAGTGCCTGAGATTCCAACTAAATAGGCATATTGTCCCATGTGAAACACAATTTATAGTGGGAAATTCAGATACTCTATAGTGCAAGAGGTTCCACTTTCTTCATTTCTTGTCTTCCTGGGCCCATCTTATATTGTGAAAGGGGGATAACCCAATTATGGATAGGCCCATCCATTTGTGGTGAGCTTCTATGATATGATGGATTGACCTGTCTTATGCAGTGCCAAGGGTTTGTAATCCTGTGATGGATGGATCAGCCCATCTTATGTTGTAACACTGGTTTTTGTTTTCCCTTATCTGCTGCCTGAGAATACCATGGATGGGCCCATCCTTATGTAGATCCCTTTGATCTCCCTTTCTACTGCCTGAGAATGCCTTACAAAGACTGTCGTTATGTAGATAGCTTGGATATCCCTTTCTGCTGCCTAAGAATACCATACACAGACTTGTCCTTATGTTGCAACAGGGGTGCATCTTGCTAGATGGGCCCATCCATTTGTTGTGATGATATACATGATACTACTGAATGGCCTGTCCTTATGTTGTGATGCTATTAGATGATATTACTGATGAGCCCATCCCTATGTTGTGACAATAGAAACAATACTACTGAAGGGCCTGTCCTTATGTTGTGACACTATTAAACAGCATTACTGATGGGCCCATCTTTATGTTTTGACAGGGTACATCTTACTGGGGCTGGGCCTGCCCATATGTTGTGACAATATAAACAATACTACTGAAGGGCCCATCCATATGTTGTGATGCTATACATGAGATTACTGACAGGCCCATCTTTATGTTGTGACAATATCAATAATATTACTGAAGGGCCCATCCATATGTTGGGACTCTATTAAATGATATTAGTGATGGGCCCATCTTTATGTTTCGACAGGGTACATCTTGCTGGGGCTGGGCCTGCCCATATGTTGTGATGCTATGCATGAGATTACTGATGGGCCCGTCTCTGTGTTGTGACAATATAAATAATATTACTGAAGGGCCTGTCCATATGTTGTGACTCTATTAAATGATATTAGTGATGGGCCTGTCTTTATGTTTTGACAGGGTACATCTTACTGGGGCCAGGCCTGCCCATATGTTGTGACAATATAAATAATACTACTGAAGGGCCCATCCATATGTTGCAACTCTATTAAATGATATTAGTGACAGGCCCCTCTTTATGTTTCAACAGGGTACATCTTACTGGGGCCAGGCCTGCCCATATGTTGCAACAATATAAATAATACTACTGAAGGGCCCACCCATATGTTGTGATGCTATACATGAGATTACTGCCAGGCCCATCTTTATGTCTCATCAGAGGTACATCTTACTGTGGACAGGCCTGTCCATATGTTGCATAATACTACTGACAGGCCTGACCTTATGTTGTGACTCTATTAAATGATACTAGTGATGGGCCTGTCTTTATGTTTCAACAGCAGTACATCTTCCTGTTGACAGGCCTGTCTATATGTTGTGACACTATGAAATGACATTACTGACAGGCCCATCTTTATGTTGCAACAGGGGTATGGCTTATTATGAATGGGCCTGTCTAGATGTTGCAACACCATAAATGATATTACTCCTGGGCCTGTCCATATGTTGCCAACTTTGTATTCTAATCATAGACAGGCCCATCCTTATGTTGTGACCCTCTCCATGTTATGATAGGCAGGCCTGCCTTGATGTTGCAACAGGGGGGTAACCTACCAGGATGGGCCTGTCCATGTCTTACAGCAATTCAGTATGCTTAATTGGTCATGGGCCCATCTAAATGTTTCAACATCCTTACCCACCATGGGCCCTCCCATATGTTGTGGTAATGCCCTTACAGGCCCATACATATGTTGCTCTCACTTTAGTCCCTTGGGCCTGTCCATGTGTGCTGGCAAATCTATTTAGGTGGGCCCATCTCGGGGTCTATATGAGCATTGGTTTTTTGGTGCACAGGCTGCCCATGTGTTGTGACTAAATGTGACTACACTATGTGTTCTTCCAGTGTCCCTACCTGTGCACCCAACAGGCATTCCTCTGTAAAAGAGCATTTTTGTAGATTTTACTACATGTCTGCTCTTTATCTACAGTGTTGTTGGTGTCCACATTGAATATATTCATATATATTTGTATCTCGTTTTTCTGCAATTTTGGTGATTGGTGGACTTGCTTGTGTTGCATGGTTGAAATAACCTGGGAATTGTCTACATAACTCCGCATCACAGCAGTTTGTATCAATCAACCCCTGCTATTCTGGACAGCGACAATCTGATATACCCATTCTTTTTGCTGCTCCTGATTTTTGTCCGAAACCTACATTATCCATCTTCGCCAGTGACGGAGGCTCTTCCTTCTTAGCTGCTTCCTCGCTGTCGTGGTCTTCTACACAGCCGGCGCATGCAAAAAATATCTGAAATTTGATTTTACCTTGGCGTACTGTACCGCGTCTCGGGCCACAACCAAGATGGGGAAGAAATGTGTGTCAGATACAGTGCCGTTCATCCTTTCCCTCCATGTTCCTAAAAACGGCTTGCCCCGACTCAATAGTGGATGTGCTGTCCACGCGCACAGGCCCCGACACCAATATCAGCCGATATATATCCTCTTTTAGAACGATCTGGTCCCGGCCTTCAAAGTAGAGACAACCATATCTGCCGTATCGGTCTGGGTCGGAGGACGAAATTGATGCTGCGATAAGCTCTTGTTGCCCTTTTCCTTCAGTCTTCTCCTCGATCCACTCATATTTGCATTGAAGCTGACCATCCACCATCAGATACCATGAGTGATAAACCACTGCGTGATCGTTTCCAGCATGTCAAATGTCGAGTTCTCGTCATCGGTAGGGCGAATGCAGGGAAGACGTCCATCTTACAAAGAGTCTGCGAAACGACGGAGAGCCCGAAGATATACAGGGTTAGCGGAGATTTCCGTAAAGAGGTAGCGTAGCGTCTTGCCTAGTTTTGAATGCTCCTGACCTTATTATTTGGTTAGATTCACCTCAACCCTACTATTCAAGTAATTCAACCATCTATAGGTGATAGGCATTTTCTAACTGCGCCTCGATTAGCGTGGCAATCACGATATCGAGGACGAGCTTATATTCACCAATCACGAGGGTTATGTTTTCCATGACTCTTGTGGTTTTGAGGCTGGCAACGAAGATGAGCTACGAACAGTCCAGGATTTTGTGCACAGAAAGGTGACTAAGCGCCGGTTGCGCAACAGGCTACATGCCATCTGGTGTGTTACACATTGCTAACTCATGGGATTGGCGAGCTCACGAGCCACTTCTAGGTATTTCATTCCAATGGAAAGTGCTCGTCCAGGCTTGGACATGAAATTCTTTGACGCTGTTTGTTCAGATAAAAATGGTATGTCTGAATTGTGGGGTCACTCAAGTTGAATCTGATACATACATATGTGATACACAGTGCCTGTGATTGCAGTTTTCACCAAGTATGACCAGTTCAAACTAGATGTTGCGCTGGATTTGGAAGACAGATCTGAAGGAAATGCTACTCCAACCTTGGAGGATATCAATGAAGAGGCAGAGAAGATTTTTCTGGATCAATACTGGAGTGTAATAAAGGGGAGTTCACCAAAATATGTCAGGTTGGAAAGTAAGATTCATCTATGTTTACATTAAATTTGATTGATTGATAAGGGTCAGATATGCACAAGCCTGGTGCAAGCTGCAGTGCCTTGATCATAGAGACAGCAAATGCATTGCATGATGATGTGCTAAGACATGTGCTAATTGCAGTGCAAAGGGAAGGTCAAAAGATGAGTGTGGAAATGGCAGTGGAGAGGTAAGCATCAGGTCATCCAGTAAAAAATTACTTCACATATTGCAGTGTAAATCTTGAGAGTGATGGAAGAAGCATTCTTAGGACATGTATTGGGTGCTTTCCACACCTATGGGTATGTACACAAAGCTTGTGCTACATGGCTGATGCCTCATGGTTTCCCTGCCATTGATGTTCTTCAGCTTGTAAGTGATCTTGTGGATCACAATGTACTGGAGTCTCATGGTTGCTCTACCACTGCTGTTCTTCAGGATGTAAGTGATCTCATGTGATGATAGTGTACTGAAAGTTCATGGTTTCCCTGCCATTCCTGCTCTTCAGCTTGTAAGTGATCTCATGTAATCAGAATGTGTTGGAGTCTCATGGTCACTTTGCAACTGTGGCTCTTCAGGATGTAAGTGATGTCATATGATCAGTGTACTGAAGTCTCATGGTTTTCCTGTCATTCCTGCTCTTCAGCATGTAAGTGATGTCACATGATGACAGTGTATTGCAGTCTCATGGTTGCCTCATAATTGCTGCTCCTCAGGTTGTGTGTGATCTCATGAGATTACAGTGTACTGAATTCTCATGGTTGCCCTGCCATTGCTGCTTTCCAGCTTGTATGTGATCTCATGTGATGAGAGTGCAGTGAAGTCTCATGGTTGCTGCTCTTCAGGCTGTAAGTGATCTCATGTGATGATGATGTGCTGAAGCCTCATAGTTTCCCTGCCATTGCTGTTCTTCAGTTTGTAAGTATCTCATGTGATGGTAGTGTGCTGAAATCTCATGGTTGACCTCCTGTTGCTGCTCTTCAGGATGTAAGTGATGTCATGTGATCAGTGTGCTGAAGCCTCATGGTTTCCCTCCCATTGCTGCTTTTCAGGATGTAAGTGAAGTCATGTGATTGCACTGTGCTGAAGTCCCATGGTTGCCCTGCCACTGCTCCTCTTCAGCTTGTAAGTGATGTCATGTGATCACAGTGTGCTGATCTTTAATGGTATCTCTGCCATTGCTGCTCTTCAGGCTGTAAGTGATCTCATGTGCTCCCATTGTGCTGAAGTCTCATGGCTTCCCTTCCATTGCTACTCTGCAGGATGTAAGTGATCTCATGTGATACAGTTGGCTGAAGTTTTATGGTTGCCCTGTCATTGCTGTTCTCCAGGATGTAAGTCATCTCATGAAATCACAGTGGGCTGAAGTTTCATGGTTGCCCTGCCATTGCTGTTCCTCAGGATGTAAGTGATCCCCTGTGATCACAGTGTGGTGAGGTCTCATGGTTGCTCTGCCATTGCTGCTCTTCAGGATGTAAGTAATGTTGTGGGATTACTGTGTGGTGAAGTCTCATGGTTGCCCTGCCATTGCTGTTCCTCAGGATGTAAGTGATCCCCTGTGATCACAGTGTGGTGAGGTCTCATGGTTGCTCTGCCATTGCTGCTCTTCAGGATGTAAGTAATGTTGTGGGATTACTGTGTGGTGAAGTCTCATGGTTTCCCTGCCATTGCTGTTCTTCAGGAGGCTAGTGATGTTGTGTGGTGAAGTCTCATGGTTGCCTTGCCATTGCTGCTTCTCAGTTTGTAAGTGATGTCACATGATCAGTGTGTTTGAAGTCTCATGGTTGCCTTGCCATTGCTGCTCTTCAGGCTGTAAGTGATGCCACATGATCAGTTTGTTTGAAGTCTCATGGTTTCCCTGCCATTACTGCCTTACAGGATGTAAGTGATCTCACATAATGGCAGCATGCTGAAGTCCGATGGTCACCTCATCATTATTGCTCTTCAGTTTGTGAGTGATCTCATGTAATGACAATGTGCTGAAGTCTCATGATTTCCCTCTCATTGTTGTTCTTCAGTATGTAAGTGATCTTGTGTGGTCATAGTGTGCTGAAGCTTCATGGTTTTCCTGCCATTACTATAGCAGCTGGCAGATTTCAGCCATTTTACAGATGGATGAAGTGTGACATTAAATTGCCATTGCAAAAGGGGACATCATTGAGATAGAGGATGAAGATGCTGACATCAACGATGTCTCAGCAGGTCCATCACTCTTACATGCTGATCTTTTCAAGTTAGTATGTAGGCAGCCAGAGCTGAACTAACTGCTGAGTGAATGGCTTCTGGATTGCTTGGGTTGTAACTAAGTACATGGGGGTTTATATACTGTGGGGGGAGTGCAGCCTATGACAAACAAGCCACAAATGCTTGGAAAGTAACAAGTAAGGACTGTAAGCAGTGAGTAATCCTGATGAGTAAGTGAGAAATGAAAAGTAAGCAAGCAAAGAGGATTAGTAAGTATTGGCAATGAACAAGTCAAGAACAGTCAAAATACCACAGAATGAGTCAAAATAATGGCAGAAACTGAGTAAGCACACTGATATCACATTAGTGGGTGGCAATGCATGTCAGATCTTGGTGGAGACATGTCTAGATCCAAAGATGGCATGACAGATGGACAGTGTTTCCAGATAGGGAAGTATTAATTCCAGAATTGAAGGGAATGAGTCAGACATCAGAGGGCTAGGGCATTGGGGGTCTATGGGGCAATGGGAGCATAAGTGATCACATCTCCCACCCATTCATCCTCTCAGTGGAGTTAACAAAAACTTCATGAATGGGGCTCTGATGGATGAGGAGGAGAAGGGGGGACATCTTCTGTTGGATCTTGCAGTAAGAAGGCAAGATGCATGTATACTCATCATGGATGTGATCAGGGAGGCTGGAGAAGAGTAGACTATGCTGCAGCTGTTGCAATGTGGGGAGAATGATGGACAAGATTGGAATAAAGATGGTGCAGGGAGCAGGGAGGAATAATCCATACACTTCATCAAGAGGGGAGACTGAAATGACCACATAAGACCTTTTTAACCAAGTGACAGACCTGAGGTGACCAAAGAATGTCCTTCTGGAAGTCATACTGACAAGGAGAACATGCTGACTAAGCTGCATGGGATGAGATGGGGCTGACAATGACAGGATGAACCAGGGGGCTTCAGGATGGAAGCTGGTGGGAATGGCTGGCAGACATATGTAGCCACTGTCTCTGGCAATGAGACAAGTGAGATGATTGATGAAGAGGCGGCCATTTCTGATGGACCTAGTGAAATGAGTGTCTGATGGATGGAGTGCTGTAGAAATATGTAGGGTGCAAGGATCCTCTCCAAATTTGGAAGGCAGAATTCCATGGCTGAGCACTTTACACAAGTGTGAGAATGGAGTCAATATCTTTGGAAATGGTGGAGATATGATGAAAACTGGAATGCCATACACAGGTGCTAAAAACTTTTAATGTACACTTAACTTGCTTCCTCTTTTCTCTTTATCACTGATAACTTGTTCTTGTGCAAATGATGACTGCTAACATCCAGCAGTCTCTCTATGCATGAGGCCTTTAGTCTACATCTGCATGCATGGGCATTACATGCAACTCATTGATGAGTTAGGCAGAGTCAGCTGTAACCATGTCCACAACACCTTTGGTGTGTGACACTGACCCCCATGCACTTGCCTTCCCCAGAACCAACTCCCTCCCCTCATGATCCTTTGCCAAGCCCCCATCTCTTCTTCTGCAGGGCTACTCCCATGCCTGGGCCATCATTCAAAGCCTCACCACCCCCTATCAACAAGCCCCAACCAACACCCCCCATCAACAAACTACAAGTCAAGCATGAACCATTGTCTGTGACTGCAACCAGATTACTAAATGAACCTGGAGACATCAAAGTGCCAGTCCAGAGTGGCACTCGATCAGTTGCAGAAACTCTGCAGGTCATAAACCCACATGAGTGGTCAACAGCAAACTTTGTTGAACACCTGTGAGTGCTTGAGGCAAGAGCTGAGGACAAGGAATTTGAGCTGGAGCAGTTCCACTGGCTGCTAGAGATGCTGGTGAGGTGGGTGACACTGCAGATCAAGGCTGTGTGGGCCAGATGGGAGGAGTTGCATAGGTTGAAGGACAAACTCTGGGAAGTGTAAATAGCATACACGCATCTGCAGAATTTTTGGTACTAGTATGTTCCAAGAAAGTAAGACTCTTTTGTGTGCTGTTATTAGTACTACAGTAAGTGAAGGAAAAGTAAGACATCTGAAGGAAGAAGTGTTGTGCCTTTTTTTTTTTTGTGACACTTGTTTTGTGGACTGTTTCTTGTGAGTGGTGTGGTTTTATATATATATGAGATGAAACAGGTATTGATAAGAGAAAGAATGGAGAAAGAAAAGGAAGGAAGTAAAGAGCAAGATAGACTACTCATCTGACTTGTCCAAAGGGACACCAGCAAGTGTAGGGTCTGCAAATGAATTGTCTTTGAGGTGATCCAGGTCTTGTATGGAAGCACCAGTCAGCTGGGTGACTTCAATATGAGCATTATTCCATGGGAAATAGGGGTATAGGTGAAAGGCAGTGAAGCAGAATTTTGAGACAGAGCCATCTAATTCCACAAGTATGTACAAGCTGCCTTTGGTGTGTCAGATGACAGCCATTGGTCCCAGGTAGTGTGGTTTGGTTTTCTGGTCAAGTTCTAGTTTGATGTGGGAATTCTGAATGAGGACAAGTGACCTTAGTTCAAAGGTGAAGTCTTTGATGGTGTGCTTGAAATGAGCAATGAAATTCATGGCTGACATGAAGCAGGATTTCAGGACTACCTTGTGGATGCAAGCAAGGTCTTTGGGACATTTCTGGAGCTGGCAAGCATGATGGGCAATGATATCAGTGGTCAAATAGAATTCTGCCTCAAAAGGGGCCAAGAACATCACTTTGACCAGATCAAAAGGGAGTCTGGGTTTGACACTGTGAGCCATATAAAACAGAGAAAACCCAGTTGCCTTATGGATTGTAACCCTCTCTGCCCAAAATACCACAGGGGTGACTTCTGACCACTTTGATGCCTCCCCACCACAACTCTTTACCAGCACCTCTCTTACATCAAAATGCTGCCACTTGACAATTCCATTAGCCTGTGAGTTATAAGGGGAAATATGTATGTGGTGAATTCTGAAGGTCTTGGAGAGCCAGTCAAGAGTGAGGATGTATGGTCCCCCATTATCTGTGACAATCTCTGCAATGGCACCCCAGCAGCACAAACTCTGTTCAAAGATGAACTTTCCAATGGACTTGCCTGTCTCTACATGAAGCATAGCCCATTCAGGATAACTGGTGAGTGAACAAACAGTGAGCTTGGGTGACATAGTGAAAGCCATTCAATTTCAGCATTAAGAACATGTCCATGTATGCCTTGTAGAACAGGGGTTCAGGAATGGCAATGACTGGCAGAATATGTACATGATTGAGATGGAAGATCTGGTACTCATGGCATGTTTTAACATACCAGCAGACATCCTGCTCTAGCATGGG